TTCAAGTTGTACGAACGTAAATTTAAGACTTTTTAAAGCCATATAAAAGACCAATTAAAGAAAATGTAAGCAATAAATTAACGGGAACACAATATGTCAATATGGTCTCTAAATGTAGATGTCTAAGCAGCACACAATAATTTTTAGCAAGACTTCAAAGCTTGAAAATACAACTTCCAACCAATCTACATTACTTTTTAATTCATTTTACACACACACACACACACACACACACACACACACACACACACACACACACACACAAAATATATAACAATATTTCAATATATACTTCAGCACATGCACTAAAATGCACGTTTTCTTCATTGAAGATGCACCATGACAGACTGAAGCTGTAACAAACAACTTCCTGCACCTCTGAGCCCCAAAAGCAGCATCCTTCTTCTGTAGATGACAACAGCTCAACCCCAGGACAGTAAATGAACAAATTACAACTACACATCATTCTGAAATGACACCTGAGCAGCATAGTGGAGGACGTACTCCCTTGGAGAACATGCATGCAGACACGGTTCACACACCAACAGCCCTGTTTCTGGACCAAAAGGAATGCCCGGATGAGCGATGCCCTCCTCCAAACTGTGAAAAACAATTTGATGGAGACATATCCCTGCGGATATTAATAACTGAAAGGCTCACGGGAGCTATCGGACTTATTCATGGGAAAGACTGGTGGGCTGCAGGCAGCGTTTCACTTCCAATACTTTAGAACCTTATCAGTCCCACTTCAATGCTCCCTACTCACATTAATGCTGGGTAGAATTTGCCACTTACAATCATTGCCAAACCAGTGTTCAATTCATTCCTCCACACACACTTACATTCACCCAAGATCACACAAAGAGGATAAAAAAATGACTGTGGGCAATAGTAGATTTGTAATGCACTAGAAATGTTAATAAAACAACTAAAAAATAAATCCACGAGACTCCTCTGATGAAATCTATGTTTGTATGTGTAGGAAAGAACTTAATTTTTCTATTTATGAAAGCTCTAGGCTTGGGAGTTCTGCATAGTTCATCCAGTATCAAAGATCAAAAGATACTCTGAAACAGCAGTGAGGTGAAATGCTTGAAAACAGTAAACAGACTCTTGTCTAACCAGGTGCAGGTGCAGTCTAAACGAATAAAAGAGAATCTAGACACCCTACCTATTAGACAGTCCCACTGGGAAAACACATCACAAAATCTTCAAGACAGCAATCAGTTATAAAACAAATCCTTCTCAGATGGGTTTCTTCTGATATTTCTCCTAAAGAGTTTCAGAAGAAAGCTTAATGTCTCAAACTGATTTGCCAAAATATGTGGAAGTGTGCAATCAAAAGTTAGAGATTTCAATATGAACATCAAGTTCTTTAAATGATCTTGATGATACTTTTTACATTTTGTAGTTCTATACTCTAACTTCTATTATTTAATAATTAAACAATTTAATACCAAAATGTAAAAAAAAAAAAAAATAACACCATATTAGCTTATTTCAAACA